TTACTCAGCTCTGAATCCCTGAAACTACAATAATGACTTGCCTGGCAAAGGAAGATAACTGTTGCAATACTGGCATGATTGTTGTAGGAGTAACCAAACACTTTCTTGTTGAATTTGGTGGCAGCTCTATAAGATGAGTCCCATGTCTCCTCCATTATCTAATCCTCAATTCATGACTGACCATGTCATATGCCCCAGGGAAGAATCTAGTACTATTAACTTGTTGACTGGATATAGTAATACAGTGTAACTGGAGCTTTTCTGGTCCCACCCAGCTTGCAGCCACTCAGACACAAATAAACACACAGATGCTTATATTAATTAAAACTGTTTGGCCTAATGGCTCAGGCTTCTGGCTAGCTAGATCTTACACTTAAATTAACCCATCATTCTTATTTATGTTTAGCCATATGGCTTGTTACCTTTTCCCAGTTCTGCCTTCACATCTTGCTTCTCATGGTGGTGGCAGCTGGCAGCATCTCCTGACTCAGTCTTCCACTTCCCAGAATTCTCCTCTCTTTTTATCCTGCCTATATTATACTTCCTGCCTGGCTACTGGCCAATCAACATGTTATCAGTCAATCAGAGCAACACATTCATAGCATACAGAAAGATATCTACAGCCATAAGCTGCACCTATGTTCTTATATTTACACATATAAACTAGTGTATCACTCAACCCTCATTTGAGAAGCCTCATTTTTGCCCTAGAAAATAATTTATACAAAGATCCAAAACTGATCAATGTGCAAAGAATAAGAGACTGTGGAGTTATCAGCTCCAAATGGGACATCTATATCACAGCCCTTTCTCTAAGGCTCAAGGACCATCATGAATCAGAAGGTAGAAGGATTGTAAGAGCCAAATGAAGCAGATGTCTGTGGTACACAGTTTTTTACAGACATGACAGCATGGTTACACACGTGAACTTATAGCAGCTGCAACAACAAGCATAAGATTTTCACAAGCTCAAGCCAGCCAAATTCCTGCCATGGATTTGGGAAGAGGGTCAAGAAGTCCCACCCCTATCTAAGGAGTCACTGGTAATGGGTAGCTACCCAGAGAGAAACAGTCAGCTTTCTTGAGGGATGTGGGCTCTGGGATGCTACCCATGCTCCAGTAGGTGGTCTCACACCCATGAACACATACACAGCACTAAGTGAATTCACTGGGTATTCAGTTTTCAAAAAGAGGGAGAACCTAAAGCTAGGAAGGAAAAGTTGAAGAATAGAAGAGGAATTAGGGAGAAGGGGACGGGTGTGGACTTGCACCAAACACATTAAATATGACTAGTATAGTCATTTAATTAGTCAATAAGACATGTGGATACTTGAACTTACAAAGCCTAGTCAGGGTAGCTCCAACAGAAAAGGAGAAGATATGATGTAAAGAGGTCCATATATACCTCTCGTTAAAGAAATTTGCTATCATGAAAAATAAAGAAGCAATAGTTATAGGTAAGCAAGCAGGTTGGAAGGTAAGCAAGCAGGTTGGAAGGTAAGCAAGCAGGTTGGAAGGTAAGCAAGCAGGTTGGAAGGTCCTGATGTGTGTGAAACTCTTTAATTATGTTTTAATTTAGATTTCTAAAACAATTTCCCCCCAAGAGGCATCATTATAAATTATATTCATTACTTCTACCTGGAAAATGTGAAAAATCGTAACCTGAACTGAAATCTTGGAAATCTGTACAGAAGGCACAGCCATAGATAGCATTGTTTATCAGCTGGAACTAGTTTGTCAAGAGTTCTCTCCACTGGGATTTTCCTCTTGTGATTGAATAAAAAATTTGAGCATCCTCGTGCTTCACGCCTTATTCTCCCTTCAATTCAAAGCTTTTCCTAGAATTCAATCCATTAAAACTGGAATAAAAATTCTTTGTAATACAAAGGTAAGAATTACTTACTCCCAGGTCTTATAAGAGATAAGTAACAAAAGTTTGGCATAAAACAAAAAAGAACATTTCTTTCTGATACATCCAAAGATGCAAACCAATGTGTTCTTTGTCTTCATTTTAAAATATAGTTTAAAAATAACACGTGCATAAATGTTTTAAACTCTTCTCTTATAAAAATTTCAACACAAGTTGTTAATGTTAAATCAGCTTTTAAAGTTATCAGTTGGTTTTTATAAAACAAGTCTTTGAGCAGGGTGTGGTGGCACATGCCTTTAATCCCAGCACTCTGGAGGCGGAGGCAGATGGATCTCTGTGAGTTCGAGGCCAGCCTGGTCTATAAAGCGAGTTCCAGGACAGCCATAGCTGTTACACAGAGAAATCATGTCTCAAAAATCAAAACACACACACACACACACACACACACACACACACACACACACACACACACACGTCTTTGTATAGGAGTAGCAATTGTACTTTAAATGGAACTTAATAGCAATGTCAGTAAGTTTAATGCTCTCATGAGATTGTGGAACACCCCAAAACTGCTGATGCACTTTGTCACTGGGAAATATATGGTGCTCTGAGCTTTTGTTGTTGTTGAGGTCATGGGTTTTAGACAATGTCTCTCTGTGTAGTTTGGGCTGACCTTCAACTTGCTATGTAGCTCAAACTAGTCTCACACTTGCAACCAATTTTAATCAGCCTCATATATGCTGGGATTGTACTACCTTGTCCACCTAAAGAACCAGCAACATTGTTTTTAGTTTCGGTGCTTGAATTGTGTATAGGGCCTTAAATATGCTGTGCACATGCTCTGCCACTGATCTACATCTTCAGTCACGTAGTGCAGGAGAGTGACTTCTGAAAATCACTTTCTCCTTTCTCTTTTTCCAAATACCATTTCTTCCACAGAATGAACTATAATTCCCATCTGATCATCTAATATGTGTTTAAATAGTATATTTCAAAGTATAAAAGCAATACTAATCCCAAAATCCATTTGTTCTCCCCTTTATCAACACTTTCATCAACACTTTCACCTTCATAAAATTCTTCCATCTAAAGGATTATTTTCAGATGTAGGTTCTAGGCTTCACATTAAAAATAAACAGATGGGTCAGGCATAGTATTTGTTTTTCATAATTGTTCTAGATACTGGGAAAAGCAGCTGAATACAACAGGATGAGTATTTGCACACATACATGCAGTGCCACAGAGGAAAGTAGAGGGCATCAGATCCCCTAAAGCTGGAGGGATAGACTTGAAAACTGACATGTGTGTGCTGGGAATTGAACTGTGGTCCTCTGTAAGAGTAGCAAGTGTTCCTAATCACTGAACTCCAACTCATACAATGCATATTTATTTGTCAAAATAACTCTCTTTCTGTGTGTATGATCATTATTTCTTATAAGGAAATTGGTCTCTGGATAGATGGCCCATTCTAATGTAGTATAGCTTCATTTTAGTAATTTCAAAGATGCCCTTGAATGAAGTAGCATTCTGAGTTCCACACAGTCATGATTTCTGTGATATTATTTATATTTATATTAACATATAATATAAATGTAATAATATTTCTGATATAATAAATAAAATATAATAATATTTCTGAGATACTATTCAACCCACCAGTCTCAGCAACAACTTCTGTACACAGAGAACATGTAGCAACTCTGAATAAATATTTGTTTAATAAACTAATGGGTTACGGGAAGAACAAAATGAATAAAAGACTTAAGAGTTCATGCCTGACAAAACCTATTTCATTCCAAATCCCTTCCACAAAGGCTTTCAGGGGGATTTAACTTCCAAACTAATGTCTTTAAGTCTAGAGATAATTTTAAATGAATGGAAGCACAGGAACCTGCTGTGGGACATCTTTCTATATGCTGTGAACGTGTGTTGCTCTGATTGGTTGATAAAGTAATGATTGGCCAGCAGCCAGGGAGGAAGGATAGATGGGACAAGCAGATGAGGAGAATTCTGAGAAGAGGAAGGCTGAGTCAGGAGTCACCAGCCAGATACAGAGAAAGCAAGATGACAAGGCAGAACTGAGAAAAGGTACCAAGCCACATGACTAAACATAAATAAGAATTATGGGTTAAATTAAGTATAAGAGCTAGTTGGTTATAAGCCTGAGATAATGGCCAAGCAGTTATAAATAATATTAAGCCTTTCTGTGATTATTTTATAAAAGGCTTCAGGACTGTGTGTGAGAGATTTGTCCTGACTGTGGGCCAGGTGGGACACAGGAAACCTTCTGACTACAGGAACCTTTAAAAAAAGAAGAAAGTCATAAGGCTTTTTGGACAGCATGTACCATAAGCCCACTGTAAAGAAAACATAGTCATCCACTCAACTGCAATGAGGATAGTGTTCCTAAAGCATGATATGACCAACTGGAAGTGATGATGCCTTGACATTGAGGCATGTACACTGCTGTGATGGAAATAACACTCACTCAGTCTAGATTCCAAAGTACTCTCTTAATTTCTTTGTGGCCACAAGTTTTCAAACTTCATATCAATAATTGAATAAGACTCAAGAGAAGTCAATGGAAAATCAGAAAATCTAAGTTCCACTCCCATTTTGTTTTGAAGTATTAGAAGAATCAAAACCTAGCCCATTTATATGCTAAGAAAATTCTTTTCAACTGATCCGCATCCCCAGCCTGATTTCATATTTTTATAAATTGCAAACATTATTATACTAGCCCTAAGGTGAACTTGCATCATCCACTTAGGGATGTGGCCAACTTTCAGTTGCTAGCAACAATTAGCAACTATGAATCATTAAAAATACACTTGATGCTATAGATGAACACATTCCTAAATTTTTCTAAAGATTATACTTTAAAAGATAATTCTAAAGTGGAGACTTTTATTTGCAAAGGAAGTTGTGGTGGTTTGAATAGGTATGGCCCTCATAGACTCATGTGTTTGAATGCTTGTCCATAGGGAATAGCACTATTAGGAAGTGTTGCTTTGTTAGAGTAGGTGTGGCCTTGTTGGAAGAGCTGTATAACTGTATAGGCAGGCTTTGGGGTCTCATATAAGTTCAAGCCATGCTAAGTAGGAGAGTTTACTTCCTGTTCCCTGCAGATCAAGTTGTAGAACTCTCAGCTCCTTCCTCAGTACCATGTCTGACTATATGCTGCCATTCTCCTGACCATGATGATAATGGACTAAACCTCTGAAATTGTAAGTCAGCCCCAATTAAATGTTTTCCCTTATAAAAGTTGCCATGGTCATGGTGTTTCCACACAGCAATAGACATCCTAAGACAGAAGTATAGATATATAACAATTTCAACCTGAAAATTTAATTGTATTGTTTTTCTTATTGTACAGAAGGTATAGTGCCCTTCATGAATAATAGTTAACCACTAATATTTGAAACATCACAAAACCCTGAGAAATGAGGTAAAAGAGGATTACATATGAGAAACAATGAACTTATTAAGACTATGAACTGAAAAGTACTCAAAGAAAAATATGGAGGACTGGAAATGTAGTTTAGTGCCAGAAGGCTTGACAACATCTAGTGGCATCAAGTTGGATAGCTTTCACATAACAGCTAACAGAATAAAAGCTAAGGAAATCAGTTTACTATAATCAAAATTTGTTTCATGTAAGACTCATAGTCATGACAAAACAAAAAATCTATAGAAAACAATTTAAAAGCAATAAACAGCCAGGCGGTGGTGGCACACGCCTTTAATCCCAGCACTTGGGAGGCAGAGCCAGGCAGATCTCTGTGAGTTCAAGGCCAGCCTGGGCTACCAAGTGAGTTCCAGGAAAGGCACAAAGCTACACAGAGAAACCCTGTCTCGAAAAACCAAAATAAATAAATAAATAAATAAATAAATAAATAAATAAATAAATAAATAAAAGCAATACACAGGGAATAAAAGAATACTATTAGAGTTACTTATAGAGCTGCCAAGGAAGATTATAAGAGATGGAAAGAGAGAGAGAGAGAGAGAGAGAGAGAGAGATTCTCTAAATTCTGTTACTCTAGAGAACCCTGACTAATGCATAGGACCTTACATAACAATAATTGCCATTAATGTAAATGGATTGAGTACTCTAATTAAAAGGCTTAAAATGAATAAAAACACAAACCCTAACTATGTTATTTATAAGACATTTAAATCACCTCTGTTATTTGTACTTGAAATACCAAATGAAATCTAAATAGACATAGCCACATTAATAACAGATAAAACAGAAAAACAGACGTTAAGTAAAATAAATTAAATTAAAACATGAAAACAGATAGTGAAGATGTGACAATAAAGAAGAAAATCCAGAGGGTAGCAATAATTTAAAACATATATACATCCAAATATCAGAGCACTAGAAATATACAGTATGAGTAGACTTAATAGAGACAACAAAAACTGAAGACATTCTTTCATTAACACCTCATGTTCAGTAGCGATTTGATGATAATCGATGAATAAATATTAGATAAATTGTACTTTAGATCAAATGGACCTAACGACTATAAGATATTCCCTACAACAGCATCTAAGTATACTTTTTTGCCCCCAAAAGCACAGACAATATTCTCTCAGACATCATAATATATGGAACAAGTCTAAACAGATATTTTTAAAACTTGAAATTATATTAGGTATCTTTTCTAACCATGGTACAAAATATTTAGTTAGTAGTCACAAACAAAGCTTTAGAAACTATACAAACACATGGAAATTAAGTCATTTATTCTTGAATAAGCGATGGGTCAAGAAAGAAAACCTTTTTATAATTAAGAAAAATTTTTATTCATTTTACATACCAATCACAGATCCCCTTATCTTCCCTCCTTCTGCCCCTCCCCAACTTTTCCTTTCTCAACCTACCCTCTGTTCCCTCCTCCAAAAAGGTAAGACCTCCTATGGGGAGTCAGCAGAGTCTGGTGCATTCAGTTGAGGCAGGTATAAGTCCTTCCCCCTGCATCAAGACTGTGCAAGGTATCCCACTATAGTTAATGGACTCCAAAAAGCAAGCTCATGCACCAGGGATGCATCCATCAAAGAAGGGCTAGCTATTTTCTTCAGTGGTGTAGCCACTGGTAAGTTGGAGGTGTTCAGCAAATAGCCCCTACTTATGGTCACATAAATAACTTATTAATATCAGTGAGAAACAGGCACATGCAAAGACATGAATATCAGAGGGGGCTACTTGGGAAGAAGGAGGTCAACATGAGTAGAAAGGGAATGAGGGTCATATTGTCAAAATACATGACATTCATATACCTTAATATGTACAAAACAAAAAGACAAACCTAGACACATACACATTACCACGATTAAATCATGAAAGGGAAACCTAAAATGAACAGCAAGCAATGAGACCTCCCATCAAAGAAAAGCCTAAGACCAGACTCAGCAGAATTCACTGCTGAATCCTAACAGAAGAACTAATACCAATTCTCTTTATGTTGTTTTAAGAAAGTAAAACAAATTAACTCAAGCAGATTTTGCAGGGCAATCATTGCCCTCATGCCAAAACCAGACAAAGATGCAAGTAACAATAACAAACAAACAAACAAAAAGGAAGAAAGCAAAAGAACTACAGGTCAGTATTATTGATGCAAATAAACATAGAAAATAAAATACTAGCCAGCCAAATTAGAATGTCAGCATATTAGAATGATCTTCTTGGTTTATTCTAAGGACTCACAGGTGGTTCAATATATGCAAATCAATGAACATGATGATAAGGATGTAATCAACACAATGGACAATAACCATATGGTCATCTCCACTGATGTAAAATGTGCATTCAATAAAAGTCAATGTCCCCTCACAAGAAAAATTAAATAAGCAAAGCACCAATGAACATATTTCAAGATAATTTATTATAAGCCAATAACCATAGTATATAGTGAGAAAAACATGAAGGAAGGCTTTATCTCTAGGAATCAAGAGTCAGGAATAGACAAGAATGCTTATTTCCACAACTTCTATGAGGCATAGTTCTGGGAGTCATAGCCAGATAATTTAGGTAAGAGAAATATATAAATGCATCTAAAAAAAAGGAGGCCAAACTTTCACTTTGTGAACATTCTGATTTTATATGCAGGAAACTCACAAAATTTTACCAAGAAAATATCTATAATGAACATATTATTTTATTAAATAAACAAACTCATCAATGTTTCAAGATGCAAAAATCAACACACAAAGTAAGGAATATTGCTTTGTGATGATAAAAATTCTAAAAATAGGAGACAAGAAATAAATTTCATTTCATGGCTATTATTTTAGCTATCCATTTATAACTAAAATGATTTTACATTCCAAGAATAAACTGACTAAAGAGCTGAAATATCTCCACAAAAAAAATAAACAAAACGCTAAAATACTAAAGAATGAAACTGCAAAGTGAACAAAAGCTGGTACCCTATTTAATGTTTGTTGACTGGAAGAATCATCCATAATAAACAAGTCAATTGAGATATGTACTTCAATGTCTCTCTATATAAATAATCATATTCTTCACAAAATTAGGAAAAGACATCTAAAATACATACAGGATGAGTCCAAGGTAAAAGTGAATATCCAAGAACATTTTGAGCAAAAAGAATAGTGCTGGAGACATTATACAACCTCTTTTCAAATTACACTACAAAATTGTCATAATCAAAACATCAAGTCACTGGCATAAAAGACAATATCTACATCAGTGGAACAGAGCATACAGCCTAGAAGTAAATATACACATCTCTACACAACTGATTTTTGACAATGATGTTAATAACATGAAGGGTGCTGAGAAATTTGTATATCCACATTCAATGAAAGAGATTAGACCTTTCTCACACCATTACAAAGATGGACTCAAAATGGATTAATGACTTAAATTTTAGCCTTATACTATGAAGTTATAGAAGAACACACAAGGGGAAATTTTTAGATATTGGAGTGGACAAGAGCTTTTCCAACAAGATCTCACAACATGAGAAACAAAAGCAAACATAAACAAATGGAATCACTTCAAACTGAAAATCTTTCATACAGCATAGGATATGGCAGGCAGAGAATAAAACCAACATTGAGAATGGGAGAAAACATTTGAAAAGCATTTGTCTGGCAACAGGTTGATATCCAGAACACATAAAGTAGTCAAGAACTCATTAACCAAAATGCAAATAACCAAACTAAACAATGAGCATCAGACTTAAACAAGAATTTCCCCAAAGAAGATAGGAGAGGCAGCCATACTCCCAAAATATCTGACATTACTAATCACCAGAGAACTGCAAATCAAGACCACAGTGTTTACCACCTCACTCCAATAACAATCGCTAAAAGCAAAAGATTAGTAGAGTAAAGATAACAAGTGTTGGGTAACAAAAATGTGCATAAAGAGGACTGTTTGTATACCCTGTTTATATTTTATGAGAATGCAAGTTTGTAAAGCCATTGTGGAAAGTAATCTGGAGATCCATAAAATGTTCAAACTAGAACAGCCCATTTGCTCGAGCAGCTCTGCTAGTGCATGTATTATCCCTCCAAAAGTGAATCAGTGTGTCAAAGACATTTGCACTTCTGTGTTTGCTTACAGTACTATTCACAACATTCAAGAAATAGGAACAACCTCAGTGTCCATCACGTAGAGACTGAGTAATACGGAGTGGAATACTACTCAATCACAATCCACTTTTAACAGTGTGGATGGACCTGGAAATCATTGTATTTAGTTAATAAAAATCAGATAGACAAAGCAGCTGTAAATGATCTCACTCCTATGTGGAATCTGAACTTAATGTTATAGAAGTTGAGAGAAGGCTGTTTACTAGAAGCCAGAGACCAAGCAGGGGCAGTGTTGTGGCTCAGATGTAAATAGTTTAATATGTGACCATGCTTGAGCAGTTGGTTGCTAGTTGGTGGTCTGTTTTGAAAAGTTGTAAGACCCTTACGGGGTGGCACCTAGCTAGAGGAATTGGATCACTAGGAGGTGGCCCTTGAGGTTTTCATTTCAGGCTCCGTACCTGTCTATACTTTCCCTAACCCTATAACTTCCCTGCCACTATTGCATCCATGGTCATATCTTGCTATTCTGATTATTCTTGCAGCTCAGAAGGTTCACTGCTGGGTAACACTGCTGATGACCATCCACTCCCCAACAATCTGCATAGCACCTTCCAATATTATGAGAGCTAGCCAGCAGGGAGAAAGCTTCCCGATTAGTATCAACTTGACTTCTCCATCTCCTGTGAACAATGTATGTGGTATCTTCAGCAACAGGGTCTAGCCATCAAGTTCTACTTGGCAACCAAAAGCAATGGCTATAACCTATATTGTTTGGGAGAACCATCAAGTGTGTCTCCACTCTGAACAGGGATCAAAGATAAAGCATCCAAAACTGAAAAATATAATGTCCCTTTTCCTAAGTGTTTAAGGACAACTTCATTCAATTGTCTATTAATATGCCACAAATATCCAAAAATGAACAATACCTTTAAAAGTGTTTTTAATAACAGAGCAGGGCATTTATAATGTTTTTTTAAAAAACTGACTCATAGTTCTGAGCAGGATTACTTTAATACTTGTTTACTTGGGCCATAAATCTGGACACATCATTTCCATTTGGCTATTGACCTTAGAATTTTTTTCCTTAGAAAACTGGAAATGTAGATATCTCACTTCAGTGTGAAAAATATCTTAATATTGTTTTAATTTATTTTGTTATTTATTGTAATTGATATTTTATAAATTTACTACAAATATATAACAATGTGTTATAATATGATAGGCTATCTGTAAGGCTATCTCTAAGTATAACATAAAGTTTTAATCTTTACTATGCTACTAAAAAAATGTTTTCCTTAATTATTTTCAAACTTTACAAACCTTTCATAGTGGTCTGAGAAGGCCACCTTCATTTCTTTCTTCAGTCTATCCAGTTGGAAATAACTTTGTTTAGAAGACTGGCTTCAAGCCTTGGCTTAGAGTGATCTTGTGGAATCACGTAGTGTTTCTGGCCCTTTTCCCTAGTAAGAAAGCAGTGATGTTAATAAGTAACCACCATGTCAGACCATTGGCGCAGACATCAAACAAGGTAAAAATCACCATCAGTGGCACATACCACATGTGATTTAGTCTTTGTTACCCATTCAGTCCTATCCCTTGGCACTGTATGTAACAAGCCCTGTGTCTGGCAGTCTTGGCATCCTTTCGAGTTGTTCCTCCTCTCTTTTGCACTCCACTAGTTTGGTGAATACAAAATGAGCTTTGAACCTTTCTAGTATTTTCACCTTCTCAACAATAAAATATTAGTCTTCATGAAGACTATATTACTTGTGCCATGTTCTAAAAAGATGTAAAGTCAACATTTCCTACTTCCTTCCTCACAGGATTTGTGGTCCATGCCCAGCCCATTTGTTTCTCTTATCCTTACAGATACTTACTCCATCTTTCTTTGCAGTGTGTTAGTAGGATTGATGGTATCCCCTCAGGTGGAGAGCTGGCCTAGAAGTCTCTGGTTGTGCAGATTTCTCAGGTAACTGTCTTTTCAACCAAGAGTTTTTATGTTAAAGTAAATAGTCTAACCAGAAAAAAAAATCATTCCTAGCCACATTTTATGGAGGTGAGTTTCTTGTTTCTTTTTATTTTTTGTTTTTAAGCTTCTTGGGTGTCTTTTTCCCTCCATCTTAAATATGAAAACATATGCCCTCCAGGTTCCATGTTTAAGTAGTAGAATATAAACCACGAAACTGCTTGTGAAAACTGGGCCTGTTTGATTCTCACTTGCTATTCTGTAGTGAGGGTTTGGATTCCAGGGTATCAGTATTCTACTTCTGATTTGTTCTTCATCCATTATTGTTGGTTTCCACCTCTGCCCTTAAGAAGACACATGCTGGGACTGAGGAGATGGCTCAGTGCCCCAAATGTTTGCTGGGATGAGGATGTGCATTTCCATGCCAGAAATCATGTGGAGCTGAGCACAGTAGTGCTCGTCTGTATTCCAGTGTTCCTAAGGGGAATACAGGAGACAGAATTAGAAAATTCCCTCAAACACATGAGCCAACTAGCCTGGATAATGGAAGCTAATTCAAGAGAGAAAGAAAGAAGGAAAGAAGGAAGACAGATGGAAATGAGGAAGTTTGGGAAGGGGACAAAGAGGTCCTTCCTCACATAAAATCAGGACCAACATCTAAGATTGTACTCTGACCTAAAATGTTCACTGTGTCATTTGTGTGCCCACATACACATACATACATCACACATCATGCACGCACACATTTATATCACACATCACACATTCACACACACACATATACAAATCACACACACACACACACACACACACACACACACACACACACACACACACTAAAAAGAAGGACCATGCCAATGGGAACTCTCATTAAAGTCTGCCAAATTCTTGTTATAGTTGGCTAACTAACATAGAGATCAAATGCTGCCCATTGCCCATTGTGTGCAGAATTTACCTTGGATCTCCACCAATCTTTTCATTTACTGATAGTGTATTAGTGTTTTTGTGCAGGAGTGGCAGTGTTGAGTAGGTAAGACTGAGATTGTAGAGAAGGAAAAACTTGAAATATTTATTACCTGGGACTTCGAAAAGTTTTTTGATTCCCCAATCTACACAATATGATTGAAGATTGTTTTTTTTATCATAAGTGCCCAGTGATCTGGAAGACCTGTTACTGTATGGCAGTGCTGTCCTAGAAACAACTACCTCTGTGAAATTCTGGGCTGTAGTAGTAATAACAAGCCTAGGGATGTGACCAAGTCACTCAGTCCCTCTGTCCTATTCCACTTACACACAATCAGTAAATGTATCTTTTTCCATAAAAAAAGCTTTATGTTAAACTGTAAATGTGTCTAAACTGGGATATCTCAGTAAAGTGCTTACTAGGCAAAGACGAAGCCCTGAGTTTTGATTCCTAGCCAGCAAGCTTGGCAAAGGATGAGGATGAGGAGGTATAGTCCATACCTGTAATCCCATCACCCAGGAGGCATAGCCAGGCTAATGCCTGTGGCTCACTGGCCAGCCAGCCTAGTTGAATTAGAGAGCCCCATATTCAGGGAAGAACTCTGTATCAAAAAATAAAGCAGAGAAGGATCCAAAAGAGCACTAAATTATTGACCTGTGGAACACACACACACACACACACACACACACGCACGCACGCACACGCACACGCACACGCACACACACACGCACATGCACACACACACGCACACGCACACACACATAAATGCTTTTGTATATTAATAGCACACACATACACATACACACACACACACACGCTTTCTGTTGCTAAGTATTTGAGATGTTAGAGCCAGATCTTTCAGTGTCTGGCATCAGATCAAGCCAAGAGGAAGGTGCACTTTAGGTATGTTCATGTCCTTATGTTTAGACAGTCTTCAGACAGCCACTCAATATCTGTCTTTCTGATGGTGTGCCAGCTAAATTTCAAGCATTGTTTTTACTTTCCTATCTCCACATCACCCTCTGTTATCTTAAAAGATTTCTACTTCCTGTTGCCTTTATCATATCTGTTTTCAAACCAGGTTGTCTCGTCTGCCTGTGAAGCAGCCTCCGTCTAACAAGGTTATGGCACTTGGCCCTGCAAGTCTGATTTCTCCCCTAACCCTATTATTGTTTTCATCTCAAAGTAAAGCAGATCAACAATAAGTTAAATAAATAAGTTATCACCCAAAGCTCTGAATTTCATGGTTTTCCCTGCTCTAAAATAAAGGAGCTTGAGAAATACTGAAATTGTGGGTTTGTGCCCTAAATGAAATAAGGTTTTGCAACATTTGCGTTCATCCTGAATTACAGACTCCTGTGCTGTATTTGGGTACACATTTTAATGCCCAGATCCAACCAAGTATAGCTATTGTCCTAGTTGATTAATAAAATCTTAACAAAATCAGGGACTTTATCAAGTCCCTAAATATAAAATCTATTAGTTAGGAAAGAATGAGCTATTTGTTTTTGTTTTCTCCTAGCATAAAGATGAATGAGCCAGAGCAGAATGAATACCCTTATCCTACATGCTGGATGAACACTGCAGTCCCATTCCTGCAGAATTCTGCACCTCAGGGGAGGCACCTGAGCCATTTCTAATCTCTTTGATGAATGCCGCTACAGTTCAAGTTTCAGAATCAATTGGGGAAAAATTTGAAGTGGGGCCTCTCATGAAGAAGTGGCAGGTCTGTTCTAGACGGGCATGCAGTAAATCAGAGTTTTCACATTTCATTGCCTGGAACTGCCTCAAACTGTCAGAATGTGGCCAGGTTTAAATCATGCAGTTAAGGAGGAGGGTGGACAGCCTGAGCCTCAGTATCTGATACTGGACAGTTATGAAAAGATTAGACTCTTTGGGAAATAGTCAACCTAGAAAAGTCAGTATTAGGAAGCTTATGATGCCAGGTAAACAGCTTATAATATTAAAATTGAGTCAAATAGGCTTAACTTATATAAATAGTAATAATAGAATGAATCTCATTTAATTTATAATTAGGTTTAAAAAATAGATGTTTGTCATGTAGTTACCAAGGATTAAATTTAAATAGTAGTAAATAGCCTTTATAAATATAAAATCACTTGAATGTCAATTGTTCCTGATTTTTGTTTGATGAGTAATAAATTAACTTTCCATCCTTGGTGGTATTGTGTTCCCCAAAATATTGTGCACCCTAATAAACTTATCTGGAGTCAAAGAACAGAACAGCTGCTAGATACAGAGGCCAGAAAATGGTGGCACTCACACCTCTAATCCTAGCATTCCAGAGGCAGAAATCCCTGTGGATCTCTGTGAGTTCAAGGCCACATTGGAAACAGCCAGGCAAGGTGACACACACCTTTAATCCCAGGTAGTGAGCCTTTAATCCCAGGGAGTGATGTCAGAAAGTAGAAAGATATATAAGGTGTGAAGACCAGAAACTAGAAGCTTTTAACTGGTTAGTTAAGCTTTTAGCCTTTGAGCAACACAGTTCAGCTGAGATTCATTCTGGATGAGGACTCAGAGGCTTCCAGTCTAAGGAAATAAGACCAGCTGAGGAACTGGTGAGGTGAGCTGGCTGTGGCTTGTTCTGCTTCTCTGATCTTTCAGCGTTCACCCCAATACCTGGCTCCCAGGTTTGGTTTTATTAATAAGACCATTTAAGATTCCTGATACACCATCCAATCAATATTTACTGTGCAAACTACAGGAGGATATGTAAATTTATGTTTTTTTTTCTCAGAAATGGGTTTATGAATTCACCCAGGATCAAGAACATATTACATTGTTCTACTTCACTTACATAGTGATGACATTTTTTTTTTCAACAAAAGTGACACAGTTAGAGCAATGATGGGCCTTAGTATTCTTTTACTTCATGTTCTTTACTTCCAAGATTGTGGAGCTGAGGGCAAATAATGTTTAATGGCCAATTGGGTAGGCAGCATGTTAGCTTCTAAGCAGCTCATGAATTAAATCCATAGAGGTATGAAATACCTATTCAACCTTATCAATTTCTCAGTACCCCAGTTTCTTCCTCTATGTGTACAAAGACAAGAATTTGAAATGTGATTGATTATATGTTTTATCCTGCTGGGAGAGCTTCTGTCTTTATTATAGCCCCAAGATAGTCCATTCCAAATCAAGCCTTGAAATCTCTACTCCAGACTTGGATCTATTTATCAGGTTAGAACCCAGGATCAAAGTAATATATCCCTAGGTTTTTACTCCAGGTCTAAATATCAAACCTGAAAGATGTGAAAGTAGCTATAGGTTGTTCTTCTTCTGTGCTTAACTTTCTCTTCAGATGAAGACCATTTGAGCTGAAGAAGAAAAGAACTGAAAAGCTGATGATGTGAAGTGTCTCCACACCCCTGCTGTTGCCGTAGCTCATCTTTAGAAAGAGTAGTAAAAGAAAACAGAAAGATTTTTAGATATGTTTAAAGGGTCAGATATTTCTGTTCCATCTGAACTGGTAGCAAATGAAGTACCTCTTGTCCCTCTAACTATATTGGTGATAGCACTGAGGTGGAGCTGGATGTGGGGGTCATGTGAACACTCATAAACTACCTCCTATCTCCCACAGGGCTTGAGGGAACTAAGTAATGAGTCCACAATTCCAATGCACTTGAGAAAAGATTAAGAGGCTAGAAAGGGGCTATGCATATGTCAATAAGATCAAAGGAACCTAAAGTGAGGAATTAGACCTACCTTATCTATCAACTTACATGATGTTCCAGGTCAGGTAGTGTATAGAGGACACCTCCGTAGACATAATAAGATGAGATGCTGACATTAAAAATAATTAAAACTCTATTGTTACTATACCTTTGAGAGGTCCAGTGGTGACAAAATTAGCCATACATTCATTGCCAATGCTTAGTAGTATCTCTTAGTCATTCTCATATTTTGGATTAACATTAGATGATGTGGTTTACAATGTGTAGAGCAAATTTAAGTGCTTGGAAATTGCTAAGTCTGGTTACACTTATCTGAAATTGAGTAGTTTATGATTATTTTTGTCCGATTTTTTAGAAGCTTTAAATCACAAATTAAGCTGGTAAATGTTAGGTCCAAAAAACTATCACCCAAAATGGCAGTGCTAGTTACAATGAGCTAAACAGAAGGACTTTGTAAACAGGACAGGCAAACAGAAGGATTGTTACTGGATAAACAGAGGCCTAGAGCCTGGTTTCTCTTTACCAGGAACCTCCCTTAATCCACCAGGAACCTCCCTCATTCGGCCTCAAAGCTTAACTACTTGAAGTAACAGCATCTAGCTCCCATTTAACCGGAACACCCCATGTCAGCTCAAAAACCCCCTATTGACTGCAGTAATAAATTCTGCTTGCTTTTCTTCCATTCTGCTCTTCTCTCTGCTCCCCTCCCATCCATATTCTTGGCAGATTGATCCCCAATAAACCTTTCTTTCTACCCATGGAGCAATCTAGTTCAGTGGTTTCACTAAACCCTTTCTTATGATAAACTATAGAATTATGCCCACATTTGCATACAAAATGGATATGCATATTAGTTCCCTAGTACAGCATTAATAAATTAAGCCAGTTTAGTAGTTTAAACATAAATATTTATTTATCCTGTAAATCTGAAGCTCTGAAGTCCACCCTGGGTTTCAAGGCTCAAGCCAAAGTGTTAGCAGGCTATACTGTTTCTGGAATTTCTGGAGAACATATTGTTAGAGGCTCCTGAATGGTGACTGATGACTTGTTTCCCTTGTTTCAAAGAGAGTAGTATAATAACATGAAGATAGTCTGACCTTTTGCCTGTCATTTCTACCTTAAAAGTGCCCTTGAGACTACTTTTCACTTACCAGGATAACCTCTCTGTCTGAAGACCCTTAATTATACACACAGTTTTCCTTTTTCTATGGAAGATCATAAATTCACAGGTTTGAGAATTAAGATATGGCAAATATGGATGGTATTATGAGACGAATCTGAAATGTTCCCTGTAGACTCATGTTTCAAATGCTTCTTCCCTCTAGCCTGTGGCACTATGTTGAAAGCTATAAAGAGTGAAGACAAGGCTTGGCTTGTAGGTTTCCAAGGATGAGCCTTTGAAGTTCATAGACTGGATCTGTTTCTAGTTCAGTCTCTGCCTTTTGGTTTGCCACACCATGAAGACTCTGTGTCATCACGCTCCCACCACCATCCATTGTGCATGTCTTCTTCACCAAAATGGGTTGAACCCTCTGAAACTGTGAGCCACAACGAAGCTTCTTCCCTTAAGTTGCTTGTGTCAGTACGTCATCACAGTGATGCAACATTAACAAGTGAGGCTGACAGAAGTTTCCTCATTTCCAAGCCCAAGTCCTTCACATCTCAGGAGAAGGGGTGAATACTAAGCCTATGCTGACATATCCCAGACAGACTGCTAAATTCTACTATAGTTCTGATGAAGGTTTGGATATGTTTTAAAAACAGTTAATGTATTTTCTCAAGTCGCCATGCAAAGAGGCTTTGTAATAGAGGGTAAAATTTAAAAGAAAAAAAAATAAAACCTTCCAAATAAATGTTACCAGTGTGTAACAGGAGATGAATCAGACTAGTGTGCATCAGAGCCTCTCCTGGGATGCATGTATATAAAAAGGGAAATGTGTTGAAGTAGAAGAAACATAATCACTAGTACTAAAGAACTATAGGGAGCAGGATCTCAACTACCCCATGGTACTGACATCTATTGCTCAACCTATTCTTTGGAATCCTATTTAATTTGCTAGGAAAAAAAATCCCCCTCAATCAAACCCTGAAACCATGGTAAAGGATTCCAAAACAATTGGAAGTAAAAGGAAGATTTTGATAATTTTTGAGGGCCCAGTTTATAAGATTTATGCCAGTTTCTAGAGACTCACTCTCCAGTTCTCTGTACAGAAGACTGTGGAGTCACAGCCAGAGTGGGGGGGATGTAGTGGGAAGGGGCTGTGTTGATGGAGGATAGTAGCTCATAGATCTAGCTGTTTCCTAGGCAGGGTCTAGCCCCTTCAGGAGCCATATTGTAGGTACATTCAGCTAGTCAGCTAGTCACTCAATTCTCAACATTCGCTGTGGACTTCTTTGCCTGTAGCATGGTGATTCTGGAACCATGAGGCAGTGCAATTTTAATTCATTACAGAGAAGCCTCAGGTAACTTCATTCTCATCTACATCTAGGAGTTTATATCTGCATTTCCAAATGAGAAATTCTAACCCAGAGTGGGCAACTACTTAATACACTGAGAGATACTGTTCCAAAACATCCTTTGAATGAATGACTCAATAACTTTAAAAAAATGTGTCTTTGATTCTTTATGTGAAATGTTTTGGTTTTTTAATTCATAGTTATCTGTGTGGCTTTAAACAATAGATTTTCATAGTAGTTTAATTTTAATGTTAATTGGTACTTTAACATACATTTTGATGTGCTCTCAAATTTTATTCCTCTAAATTGTCTCTACTTACCTAGAAAATTAACTTTTGTGCCTTCCTGTATAGGTCTCCCTAGACTTTATCCAAGGCTATTTCCTGATACCATCCCGCAGAAGCACAGCATTCGTGGTAGTTAAAATGGCTACTGTGGAAAAGTTATTTCTCTAGCAAAATATTTTCTATTCTTTGGTTGATGAGGGAAGGCCTACCCCATTGTGGATAGGGACACCCTGAACCTGGTAGTCCTGAGTTCTATAAGAAAGCAGTCAGAGAAATCATGAGGAACAAGTCACTAAGCCACACCCCTTCATGGCTTCTGCATCAGCTTCTGCCTCCAAGCCCCTGCCCTGTTTGAATTCCTGTCCTGACCTCCTTCAATGATAAATAATGATGTGAAAGTATAACAATAAATCCCTTTCTCCCTAAGTTGCTCTTGTGTCTCATCAGAACAATTTTAAGCCTAACTAAGACAGTTAAGTATTAGCTATAATAATGGCAAAAGTATCTTTAGGTATAATGGAGGACTTCATCAAGTCGTAGTTAAAAATTAACTTGGTTTAGGTGGTATAAGAAAATAGAGAAGAACAAAGCAGAATGAATCACTAGTGATTAGAAAAGAATAATGTTTATTAAACTCACTAACATTTTTCAAGTTTAAACATGATGTAATAAATGTTTACTTTATGGGCAACTAACTTTTGAACTTAGAAGTGGGGAAAACAATCATATATGTTCATGATTTGTCACTACAGAAGACCTCTGAAGACAAAGCTTATATAACAAATTCATACATGTTATTTCTTAGTTCGTTGGCACGGAGTAAAGCACTAATTAGTAATACTGTACTCTTCTGAGAGGCAATGTGTTGAGGTCAGTGATTAATTACATTTGGGAACAAATTACAAAACACTTCATTGCCTTCATTTTTATCAACTAATGGATATTGAAAAAATTGTATATCAATGTCCATTTAAAACTACTAAATATACAGAAAATAAATATGTATGAAAATTATTTGAATAAGCTATTGATTCATTTCAAAACCATAATGAACTGAGTTAAAATAGAACAGGAAGACAAGAGGATGTATACATATAATTTTATTTGAAGGAATAAAATGGTCAATGAGTGCTAAAGTTCATGCTCACCAAGAACAGCTTTCAGAGTTCATTGTATTAACTAGAAATTTGCCACTTATCTTTGGACAAGCTAATTATATTCCTGGACATAATTGTGTTGATGGAAGTACTGTTTACATCAGAATTCTGAAGTACCAAGGAACTCTAAAGGAAAATGTAGGCCCTTAGTAGTTTCTTACCCAATGAAATGAGATTAATAATAAGGCCTACCTCACTGAATTGTTGTGAAGATCAAATTAGCTCGAGTTTATCAATCAGTAATTACATTCATTACAAGTAAAAACCAACCACAGCAATATGAAAAATAAAGTTGAGTTTCTCATATAGCAAAGGGCTCAGCTCATATTGGCTCAGCTGTCCAGAGCTGTTGAAATTTCTTGAGGAACTTAAGTACTATGGATCCTAAGCCCATTATTAAAGTAAAACATGAAGCAAAAGAAAATTCAGATCTCGCTGTATATTTAATGACTATGAAAAGAGTAAATAAGATTGAAATTCTCAGGGAAAGTAAGCAAAATTTGGTTCTCTATAATGTGACAAATCTTTCTATGAAGGTTCAAATTAGGATGCTCCTCATAGTTCGTGTTTGGATGCTTGGTCTGTCAGTTGGTGGAACTGTTTGGGAAGGACTAGGAGATACAGCTTTGTTGGAGAAGGGGTTTCACTGAATGTTGGGTTTTCAAAAGCCACATCATTCTCATTCTCTCTCTTTCTGCCTCCTGGTTGCGGATCAGTATGTAAAGGTCTTGGCAGCTGCTCCAAGGCCATGTCTGTCACCTGCTGCCATGCTACCCACCATGATATTCACAGAATCCAACCCTCTGACCCAAATTAAGTGTTTTTCTTTTATAAGTTACTTTGTCCATGGTGTTTCATCACAATAATAGAAAAGTAACTAGGACACCTTCCTACTAAGTAAAAAATTTGAATCCCTGACTTTATCATCTATTATGTTATAGATATTACCACATTTTACTTCCCAAATGGGTGACTAAGGCACCTTCAAATTCCTGAGTCAGAAATCATTAAACAAGATTGCTGAGACTAGGAACCTGGAACAGGCTGTCTCTTCTTTGCTTTGACACCAGTGCTTTACCAGTTCAGTCATTTCACTAAGAATCAAAGCAAGTATGATATTGTCACCTGTAGGTATTGTTTCTTTCCAGATAGCCATGGGAGATCTTGTCAGATAGGTTGCTAAGCATCTGATACAGAATTTTCCTGGCAAAACTTTTGGAACTAAGTTTACAATTTCTCTATATAAATGATAATTTTCTTTCTGTTTTCCTCTAGCTTAGTTCACTTATTTCTTGACCTAAGTTTATAATTTATCTATATCAATGATAATTTTCTTTCTGTTTTCCTCTAGTTACGTCACCTATTTCTTAACCTGAGAAATTAAATTAAATTTATCGCAGATATAACTAATTGTGAATTTCACAAGTTAAACAACCTCTACAAGTTTTTGTGAATCTTTCTTGCCTTCTACAAGTTCTCAATCATAGTAATAAGTGTAGGCTTGGAAAGTGTCCTGTTAGGGATTTGGTAATTTGAAAACTATGGAAAACATCACCCAGCCCACATCTTTTCTTTTCCTTCAGCCATTTGGGCAATGCTACCTGCTGAAGCTGCTTTGTGCCAGTTTCAAGCATGAGTTGCCTTGGCACATGTAGTATTTTAACTAGCCTTTAATCAAGAACATCCTTGGACTTCCCAAACACCTGTCTCAGCCCAAACTGCAAAGCACACACACAACACCTCCTAGCCTAATTTGATGCTGTCAGTTGACTTTGGATTCACTTCATTATTGCACAAAACCTCCCACTCTGTACTTCCTCAATTCAGTGCCATAGAGCAAGTTTCCATCCACCTGTGACTATTATGTATGTGCCCATCTCTAAAGCAAATGCTCTGCGGTGCTGTGGGATGTTCTGCATGGCAAATGTGTTGCTCTGATTGTTTAGTAAATAAAACACTGATTGGCCAGTAGTCAGGCAGGAGGAAGTATAGGCGGGACAAGGAGGAGAAGAATTCTGGGAAGTGGAAAGCTGACAAACCGTATGTGAAGACGCTAGTACGCCACGAGCCACATGGCAAGGTATAGATTTATGGGAATGGGTTAATTTAAGCTATAAGAACAGTTAGCAAGAAGCCTTCCACAGCCATACAGTTGGTAAGCAATATAAGTCTCTGTGTTTACTTGGTTGGGTCTGAGCGGCTGTGGGACTGGCAGGTGAGAGAGATTTGTCCTGACTGTGGGCCAGGCAGGAAAACTCTAGCTACACTGGAGATGGAAGATAGGAAAGAAAGTAACTTCATAATGTCCTTTGGAACCAGCCCACTTATTCTCACACATGCAAAGCTCTCCTGTCATTTGCTATAATGTGATAAATTTACATATGTGTAAAGAATGAATTTATAAGACTACTAAAAGAGTAAAATGCAAAGTATACTATAAAATTCCTCCATTATACATATGCAAT